CTGGGGGAAGCGTGGTGGGAGAGAGTACCTCCTCTGAGAATGAGGTAGAAGATGGGCAGTATCAAGATAAAGGTTTCCAAGAAGGGACACAGATCTGCAGAGGCTTGGGATTATGGCACAGGGTGGTGGCAGGTCCTGGTGGGAGGCAACAAGGGGCCGCTTGGCCACAGCAGAGATTCCTACAGTTGAGCCTTAGGTGACCACTAGGCCTTTGGGAGTGCTGGAAACCAGCAATCCTAGAAGACCCAGGAGATCTGCTCTTATGTTTTGCTCTGTTTCTTTTGACGCTTGTGACTTGTGTGAAACTCAATGGGGCAGCCTCAATAATGACTTGAGATGAACTCTCCTGTCACACCAGTAAGATATAAAGGAGTCCACATGATATGAGCAGAGGAGTCTACTGCACAGATGTCAGCCCATATACATTTTTCTCACAACCTGCCATACAAATGCTTCAACTAGAGGTTAACTCCTACTGGTGAAGGAACTACATGTATAGAAATACCTGATAAAGAATAACTGCCCAGAAATATGTAGGTGACTTGTCAAACCATTCTCAGTTATCAAAACTCTAATGTGAATTAGTTTTTCACATTGGCTAGTCAACCTCAAAACATTCCAGGGGAATAAGACTTCATAGAAGTATCTGAATAGAGAGAAATAGGAGGTTTTGGGGCATTCAGTACTTTCTGGAAAGGCTATATCCTGGCCAAACTTCTTGGGAAGGATGAGTGAGGATAAATTGTGAAAAGAAGACCATATGCATAAATAAAAGAAAAATATAAAACAACCAGCCTGCCACTGTAAATCTTACCCTGTTCTCTAATTTTGCCCTGCCCATGTCACCCTCTCAAAGACTTTATCCTAGACTTTTTGTCTGTTCTAAGGGCCCTATAGTTCTGTCACCTTCTTTCTTTAGCATCTTTCCATCAAGAACACCCTCTTATTGACCATCACAGTACACCCACATTTTTCCTGCAGCAGTTCCTCCTCTGATCCTCCCTTCCCCAAGTGGGTAACTGGGTGTAGAGGTCAGAACAAGGTTACCAGTAGCCATAGGAGCCTGGGGCTTGGCAACGGGGATTCCAGAACAGTGGACAGCCTGCTCCCTGGGACTCCTCTTAGGTCTGAGCAAACAACAGAAGAACTACTGATTCAACGGCTGGCAGAAGGCTTTTTTTTAGCCCTGGGAACATCTAAGACGTGTTACGGAATGGGCTGTGGCAAAAAGAAAAACATGGAGTGGGAGGACAGTAGATGAGGGGAACTTCTGCCTGCTCAAACTGAGAACATGTTTCTCCTTTCTCTTTTGGCTAGGCATGGCACCATGCCATATG